ATATTTAATTATTGAATCGAGGTCCAATTTGATTGTTGGATTATTCATTCTATGAATGGATTATTGAATCAACAAACGAAATCATTTTTCCATTAATGAATTCATTAGTTTGCTAGTGATGGGAACGCTTGACCTGGTTTGACTGTAAGTAACTTGAGCCTGGTTTGAATGTGTATTAAAAGGCAAAAATAGGAATAAGAAAGCGATCACCTAGCAACGCGAGAAACGGCTTACTGTATCTTATTTAGCGCTAAAACTCGGATATATGTAAACAAAACACATACACAAAATAGAACTGAAAACTCTCTATTTCAATTTTTTCTGACGTTTTTTCCTATCTATCTCGAGGAAATGAAAAAATGTTGCAGTCTCAGCGTTTCACGCACCGTTAGTCAGTTAATTATGCGAGTTCGCAAGCCCAAAGTTGAATACAAATTACCTCGACAGGAAAGACCTAAGGGAGCACCTTGACGTATTATTATATAAACAATTTGAAATAACTTAACAAGGATCAATTAAAACACGCGACTAATAATTGCTAGCAATAAAACCACAAGAGAGATACCGTTTTAAAAACTTTATTAAAAACAATGACAAAAAGAGTCAAATACACAGCGATTTGTAAGGAATGGAAATTAATTAATCTTCATCTTCGTTCTCCTCTTTAGAAGGGGAATAGAAATTGGTTTCCAACGTTTTCGCGTTTTTGTGTGTAACTGTTCCACAATCGTGACACCGACGAAAGCCCTCTTTCCTGTAATTTCTCCCCTCGGGAATCTGGTGATCGCATATAGGACAAATCTTGTAGTAATCGTGCCAAAAGCATTTAGGACATTTCCTGATCAATGTCCAGTACACAATAGAGTTCTCGCAATGTTCACAGGGACTTTTAGAGTGAAAGGCGGTGGACGTTTCAGGGCTACTACTTTCTGTTTCCTGAATGTCGTTTTCAGTGTCGTTGTCGCTCTCTTGGGAGCCTTCAGCTTCAACGCCATTCTCAGAAGCCACTTTCTCCTCCTCCTGATTTTCAATATCCGATGAACTCTCCTCATTATTATTCTCGTTATCGGAAGTATTTTCTACATTTTGGTAGCCGTTTTCCTTTTCTATTAATTCACTTAACAACTTTTTGTTCTTGATTAAACCTTAATCGATTCCTAACTCTGCAAGTCCATCTAGAAACGTATTCAGCGTACGAGGCTTGGTAACCTCATTGTTATGAGGGAGTAACACATACTCAACTAGCTCAGCGATGTTTGTGACGGGAATAGTGCGTTTATTTCGACATAATTGTCCACTGGGAGTCCAGAAAAGAATATCTTTGGACGCAGCCATACTATGCAGCAAATCAGAAGCAAGCTTTTCCGGCACTGCGCGGGAAAGATGACTCAAAACATCTTTTATTCTTGGTTCTTCTTTTATTCTCGGTTCTTCATCCTCGCTTTCATCAACAGAACTTTCGCTTTCTTCATGTTCACTCTCGTGTTCTTTTTCAACCAAATCTATCTTTCTCTTCATTTTGATGAGTAACCGTGACAGACTTAGCATCAAATGATCAACTTGCCGTTGCGTCACCTCTCTTATAGCATTAGAAATCCTAAGCTTGAAACAACAGGGGCTAATACATCTTCAATAAAACCACTACCCTCTTGTACAAGGACTCGCTTCTTTGTTTTGTAAGGGACATTTGGACTGGCCAGGTTAAGTAAGGCATCCTTATATGGCGGCAATATCCGCTTATTTTCTTCGAGGATGGGAATGTGTCCCATGACTATACTGTATAAGACTTGGACTAGTGCATGTAGCTGCTGTGGAGTAGCTGTCTTTACAAGAAACTGGCGCTGATAAGCAGGGCAGTCAGCTAATACTTGAAGAAAACCACGCTTGTTGTTGACTACACGAGACATTGCTACAAAATGAACTAAGAATGGCAGTTGGTAGTCTCTTATAGAATCTCGTGGAGGGAAAACAATGGAAATGAGGTGGTTGTGGTGGTGAAGGGAAAACAATAGAAATGTGGTGGTGGTGGAGGAAAAACAACAGAAATGTGGTGGCGGTGGTGGTGGTGGTGGAAAGGAAACAATAGAAATGTGGCGGTGGAGGAAAAACAATAGAAATGTGGTGGCGGTGGTGGTGGTGAAGGGAAAACAAGTCCATCTAGAAACGTATTCAGCGTACGAGGCTTGGTAACCTCATTGTTATGAGGGAGTAACACATACTCAACTAGCTCAGCGATGTTTGTGACGGGAATAGTGCGTTTATTTCGACGTAATTGTCCACTGGGAGTCCAGAAAAGAATATCTTTGGACGCAGCCATACTATGCAGCAAATCAGAAGCACGCTTTTCCGGCACTGCGCGGGAAAGATGACTCAAAACATCTTTTATTCTTGGTTCTTCTTTTATTCTCGGTTCTTCATCCTCGCTTTCATCAACAGAACTTTCGCTTTCTTCATGTTCACTCTCGTGTTCTTCTTCAACCAAATCTATCTTTCTCTTCATTTTGATGAGTAACCGTGACAGACTTAGCATCAAATGATCAACTTGCCGTTGCGTCACCTCTCTTATAGCATTAGAAATCCTAAGCTTGAAACAACAGGGGCTAATACATCTTCAATAAAACCACTACGCTCTTGTACAAGGACTCGCTTCTTTGTTTTGTAAGGGACATTTGGACTGGCCAGGTTAAGTAAGGCATCCTTATATGGCGGCAATATCCGCTTATTTTCTTCGAGGATGGGAATGTGTCCCATGACTATACTGTATAAGACTTGGACTAGTGCATGTAGCTGCTGTGGAGTAGCTGTCTTTACAAGAAATGGGCGCTGATAAGCAGGGCAGTCAGCTAATAGTTGAAGAAAACCACGCTTGTTGTTGACTACACGAGACATTGCTACAAAATGAACTAAGAATGGCAGTTGGTAGTCTCTTATAGAATCTCGTGGAGGGAAAACAATGGAAATGAGGTGGTTGTGGTGGTGAAGGGAAAACAATAGAAATGTGGTGGTGGTGGAGGAAAAACAACAGAAATGTGGTGGCGGTGGTGGTGGTGGTGGAAAGAAAACAATAGAAATGTGGCGGTGGAGGAAAAACAATAGAAATGTGGTGGCGGTGGTGGTGGTGGAGGGAAAACAATTGAAATGTGGTGGTGGTGGTCTTGGGGGAGGAAATGGCCTGAAAACCTATATAAATGCGCAACATCTACCTCTATCTCAGCCTACATTTTACTCCTGAGGAGTTGACATGAATTGGTTCTGTTCTGTCTGCGAAAAATCATTTAGTAGAAAAGATAGTATGCAAGGGCACGTGATGTCTAAACACCGCAATGCTGGTCTCATTCCATTTCAAACAGTTCCAATGTTTTCACAGAAATGTCAGCGGTTTCGCGTCGAGCACCCTTTCACCTCCATGATTGCCGGAATGACCGGGTCCGGAAAAACGGCCTGGGTTCGATCTCTATTGCAACAAGCTTCAGAGACCAGTTACCCTCCCCCGGAGAGGATCGTTTGGTGTTATTCACAATGGCAGCCTGCGTATACACAAATGTTAGTCTCCATGCCACACATTGAATTCGTCAAGGGAATTCCTACGGCTTTGGAGCAGGATTCCTATTTTGATGTGAACAAACGGAATTTGATCGTGTTTGATGATCAGGTGATTGACGCCAGTAAAGACAAGCGAATTGTGAACCTCTTTACTCGTGGTTCTCATCATCGCAATCTGAGCGTGATTTATATCGTGCAGAATCTATTTCATCAGGGGAAAGGTAGCTGCAGCATAAGCCTAAACAGTCATTATTTGGTGTTATTGAAGAATCCACGAGTCAAATTGCAAATCTTGACTCTGGCCAAGCAAATGTATCCCGGACAAACTGATTTCTTTTTAAATCAGTACGAAGAGGCTGTAAAAAGACCTTTTGGTTATCCTCTGATTGATCTGAAAACTACTACGTACCCAAGATAATTGTCGGTTGCGAACAAACGTCCTGCCCAGTGAAGAAGGCTTTAACCAAGTAAGGTTTCAAGAAAATATTCCTCAAGAGCTTCTAAAATCAGTAAAATATCTGAAGCAGCAAACTCTTTCACCTGTCCCGCTTCTTCCAGCTATGCAAGAAATACAAGGCAACATGGATGACTTGCTTTCTCGAAACGATCTTCGGGACGATGAAAAAGCTAAACGACACTTTCAGTTGCAGAACAGATACCTGGCTTTTAAAGAACAATTAAATACAAGAACACGACCGGAAGAAATAATCAGCACTGTTCCAGACTTAACATCAAGGACACAAGATTCTTCGACAGCAACGACAGCATTCTCCACTCCCCTCAATCCCTTTAATGTAACACCTGAATTAACACAAGCGGCTATCTCTCAAAAACCTGACAAAGAAAGCCTCACCCTTGCACCACCCTTAAATCCTGCTTTCCTGACCCCTCCTCCCACGGTAGAAATCCCATTGCAACAAGGCCCGAAGCGCAAAAGGCATCGGATTAAATTTGTAAATTATTTGGATGATCATAAATCTCATGGCAAACAGCTGAAGAAACGTCGGCATAAGAAATTCAAACCTTACAAGTACTCCTTGGGCGAAGAAGATGAAGATTAATTAATTTCCATTCCTTACAAATCGCTGTGTATTTGACTCTTTTTGTCATTGTTTTTAATAAAGTTTTAAAAACGGTATCTCTCTTGTGGTTTTATTGCTAGCAATTATTAGTCGCGTGTTTTAATTGATCCTTGTTAAGTTATTTCAAATTGTTTATATAATAATACGTCAAGGTGCTCCCTTAGGTCTTTCCTGTCGAGGTAATTTGTATTCAACTTTGGGCTTGCGAACTCGCATAATTAACTGACTAACGGTACGTGAAACGCTGAGATTGCAATAGTTTTTCATTTCCTCGAGATAGATAGGAGAAAACGTCAGAAAAAATTGAAATAGAGAGTTTTCAGTTCTATTTTGTGTATGTGTTTTGTTTACATATATCCGAGTTTTAGCGCTAAATAAGATATAGTAAGCCGTTTCTCGCGTTGCTAGGTGATCGCTTTCTTATTCCTATTTTTGCCTTTTAATACACATTCAAACCAGGCTCAAGTTACTTAACGGGCAAGCCTAGGCAAGCCTATTGTTCCTATTGTAGTAGGGAGATGCTCATTAGTAAACGTTTACCGAATTAGTATGCAGGAAGACAGTTATTAGATGGAGGAACTGATTTTTACCCAGGTTATAACAACGGGTGACGTCATGGACTCGACCCTTGTGCATACCAATGATTTCCCTATACCTATACCTATACACCAACGAGGCTTAATTCTTATGAAACATGACTACTAACCTCAACCCCTCGACTTCATGAAGCTTTAATTTTCTAGCAAAAGTTCAGTATAGTATGTAGGTAAACTGGACGGCGATCGAATAAACCAGGAAATTTTATATTAGCTAGGAATTGTTGATTTAATATTGTTCTAGTCTTCGCCAATGCAAAGTACCGCAGATTGTTGTTGTTAAATAAAAACACGCCAAAAAGTTAAAGAAAACTAAAAAAGAAAGAAACTGGGAAGGTTTGTAGCATTCTGGGCCGTTTCCCGCCGAAAATATATAACCAAGGTTCTTACGTTCAAACGGTTTCTTCTCCATAACATCGTTTGATTCGTTTTAAAATTTCCTCTGCACTTAGATTCTCTACATCCCCAAATTGTTCGTTTTGTTGGGGATAAGCACAGATTTCTTCGACTCAAACATGAAAAAAGTTCTGTGCTCTCTCTACCATACAAACAACGCAACAACTATCACAGATCAACACACTAGTCACATGGAAAAAGAAGTCACGTGACCAGTGCTCAGGTCCCTATCAAAAAACCTAACAGTTTTCGGATAATTTTCGTGTCCGATTTTTAAATTAGATTTGTCCCGAACATCCCGGCCGCCTTGGGGCGATCGCGTAGAACGTCCCAACAGCATCTACACCGCATCTACTTCTTTCACATCGTTCTCAAGCAAGCACAACTTCTGTATAGGACGAACATAGACAGCATCCTTGGTCTTGACTTTCACAGTCCGTACTAGACCATCTGCACCCGGGTACGTCTCCAACACTCTACCGAGATTCCAATGCCCTCTAGGGGTGTTGTCGTTAACAAGAAGAACCAAGGCGTCGGGTTTGATGTTAGGCAGCACTCTTCGCCATTTACCTCGTTGTTGGAGGGTTGGAATGTACTCCTTCAACCACCTTTCCCAAAACAAATTAGCCAAAAATTGAACCTGCCTCCACTTCTTTCTGTAAATGTCAGTCTTCTCAAAGACTCCAGGAGGCAAACAGATGATCTTCCTCTGCATCAATAGGTGGGCCGGTGTTAGCGGTTCGAGATCGTTCGGATCGTCCGAGTTCGCTGTGAGGGCTCTTCCGTTAAGGATACGCTCAACCTCAGTAACAAGTGTTCGTAGAACGACATCTATCACAGTTTGCGCCCCCAAAATGGACTTTAAGACTGTCTTTGCACTTCGAACCATACGTTCCCACACGCCAGACATACTTGATGCAGTCGGGGGTTGAAATATCCATTTACAGCCTCGTTGTATCAGCTCTCTCTCTATCTGCCCTTGGTTCCATTCCTGGAGACTCCTCTTCAATTCTCGTTCGGACCCAACGAAGTTAGAACCGTTGTCACATCGTAACTCTTTCACGTCTCCCCTTCGATTTATAAAACGCCTTAAACACATGATGAACTCATCAGTATCCATAGAATTAACCACTTCAAGATGCACGCTACGGGTGGTCAAACAGGTAAACAAGCAACACCACCGTTTCGCGGTCCCTCGGCCATGTTTCACATAAATCGGGCCAAAGAGGTCCATACCAGTGAACGAAAACGGTGGCTCATAGGCTGTAAGTCGACATTTGGGTAAGGGTGCCATCTGCTGGGTCATAGGTTTGGCGTTAAGTTTCTTGCAGGTAAGGCATCGATTAAGGACCGATCTAACCAATACACGCACTTGAGGGATCCAGAAATCTTCCCGCAACCTTGCAATAACATGTTCCCGTCCCAAGTGACCAATAAGGTGGTGAACGTGACGTACAACCAACTTGGCGACCGGATGGTCTCTGGGAAAAATCATTTGTTGGCCGAGTGTACAGGAGGTCGGCTTGAGCTGACCACGGCCATTAACTCTCAGGATTCCGCCTTCGTCAAGTTTGGGATTCAGTGACGCAACCTTGCTTGACGGCTTGACCGCACCGTTGGACTTCAAATCTTTAATCTTCTGTGCATACGCCAATCCTTGGACAATCCTCACAATTGCTACAGTTGCCGCGTCAAAATCGTCAACACTGAGACGTCCAGCTTTGGCGTTCTGTTTGTCCTTAACAAATTGTACAAAACGCAGGAGCCAGGCCATTCTGCGCCTGAGGCGGGACCAATCTGAACAGGTAGTTAATAACACTCGGAGGGGCGGTTCTTCACAGCTTTCGACGGCCGTAGGCCTTGTATCTTCCTTCTTCGTCACG